ACAAATAAATAAATAAAATTAATAATAATAATATGCTGAATTGAATAAGCCAAATCTGAACTGTGGATTTTTAAAGTGTATTTCACACACTGAGTATGCTGCTAATAACCCTTCTGCTTTGGATAGAGAACCGAAGAGCATGAAGACATACTCACTTGGTATCTAAGAAGCTTATGCAGAAGCCCCCTTGTCTGTCGGACCATTCAGTTGACTTTCAAACTGGACAGAAAATTCTCCAAGATTCAGGAGGCAGGTGGGTAGAGTTGTGCTCTTGGTATTATTAGAGCTTTCTAGAGAACCCTTCAGTGAAATGTATCTAAGCAGAGCTTGGACGCCAGGACAATAGCTCAGGCATGATATCAAGAGCTATATAAGGGAGGGGCTTGTGCCATTTTAACAAGATTCCCAACAAATGGAGTTTGAGGGGGAATTTGGAAAAGCTGCATGTTTCACATTTCCCTCTTCCACATCATTCTTATTCAAGGAGTTCTACAACTTCTGTGCATGTCAGTGGAGGAAGGGTCTGTTTTAAAGAAGTAAAAGGTACCCTGAAGTCACAGGTCCGCAGTCTGGGTGTCCTCCTGGACTCATCACTTGCTCTTAAAGCTCAGGCGTCGGCGGTGGCCAGGAGGGCCTTCGCACAATTAAGACTCGTGCGCCAGCTGCAACCGTACCTCGTGAAGTTGGATCTGGCCAGGGTGGTCCATGCCTTAGTCACCTCCAGATTGGATTACTGTAATGCACTCTACGTGGGGCTGCCCTTGAAAACAGCCCGGAAATTTCAATTGGTACAACAAGCGGCAGCCAGGTTACTAACCGGTGCTTCTTACAAAGAGCGGTCAACCCTCCTGTTTAAGGAGCTCCATTGGCTGCCATTCATTTTCCAGTCCCAATTCAAGGTAAAATCATAGAATCAAAGAGTTGGAAGAAACCTCATGGGCCATCCAGTCCAACCCCCTGCCAAGAAGCAGGAATATTGCATTCAAATCACCCCTGACAGATGGCCATCCAGCCTCAGTTTAAAAGCTTCCAAAGAAGGAGCCTCCACCACACTCCAGGGCAGAGAGTTCCACTGCTGAACGGCTCTCACAGTCAGGAAGTTCTTCCTCATGTTCAGATGGAATCTCCTCTCTTGTAGTTTGAAGCCATTGTTCTGCATCCTAGTCTCCAAGCAAGCAGAAAACAAGCTTGCTCCCTCCTCCCTGTGGCTTCCTCTCACATATTTATACATGGCTATCATATCTCCTCTCAGCCTTCTCTTCTTCAGGCTAAACATGCCAGCTCCTTAAGCCACTCCTCATAGGGCTTGTTCTCCAGACCTTGATCATTTTAGGCGCCCCTCCCAATTCATGGTGCAGGTCTTACCTACAAAGCCCTTAACGGTTTGGGACCCACTACCTGCGTGACCGCATTTCTGTGTGTGAACCCACACGATCTCTTTGATCTGGAGAGGCCCTGCTCGCCATCCCACCTCGCAGGCAGGATTGGTGGGGACAAGGGAGAGTGCCTTCTCGGTGGTGGCCTCCCACTCTGGAACTCACTTCCCAGGGATATTAGACATGCCCCAATGTTGGCAGTCTTTAAGAGGAGCCTGAAAACGTGGTTGTTCCAGTGTGCCTTCCCAGAATAATGAGAACTCTCAGCAATATGCCCTCATAATGCACTTTAATACTGACTTAGGATTGGCTGCGTTCCCTCATTTCTCTCTGAAAAATCCTATCCCAGTTATATTTTACCTTGTTCACATTAGCATATTTTCAATTTTAATCTATTACATTTGGCCTGGCCATTTTTAAAATGTTTATATGTCACTATTGATTGTTTATTATTTTTGTTTATGTGATTTATATGATTTGTATTTTATTGGTCGTTTTATTGATGTTGTTTATTTATGTTTTGTTGGATATATTGTGGGCTTGGCCTCATGTAAGCCGCACCAAGTCCCTTGGGGAGATGGTAGCGGGGTACAAATAAAGATTATTATTATTATTATTATTATTAATAATATTATTATAAGGTAGAGAGTTTTAAGTTAAGGAGTTTTCCAGAAGAAAATAAACATTCATACTGTTGGGATCTGGCTGAGACCCAGGGCATGGATCGCAAGTTCCCAGCAGTTTCAATGCATGGAGTCATAGAATCATAGAGTTGGAAGAGACGTTGTGGGCCAACCAGTCCAACCCCCTGCCAAGAAGCAGTCCAAGGTAAAAATGTGTTTTCTTTCCAGGACCAAGACAGTTAAGAAAGTTTTGCTTGAATGAATTAGAATTCTTAAGCCACGTAAGGGCTGCCTGCAACTTGCTATGTCTGAACATCCAGGAGGATACATAAACAGCGGAAAAGGACAAGCTAAGCATTATACTTGTTTCCCATTATTTGTCCTGCATAGAGGAAGAATAAAGACATTATTTTTGTATTTACTTTAACATTTGGAAGAAAAATGAACATTTTAATCAGTGTTCTGAAAAGCAACTTATTTTCTCTCTATATAAATATATCCTAGTATATGCTTATAATACAAAAGTACAGAAAATAAATTTTGTATATTAAAATGCAATAAAAATGTTTACATTTATTTTAATAAAATTACGTTCTGCTGTTTCACTTTGTTTGTGATCATAGAAATTACTTTTGCTAAGGAAAACTACATATGGATAAAAGCATCTTGACTGTATTGTCGAAGGCTTTCATGGCTGGAATCACTGGGTTGTTGTAGGTTTTTTTGGGCTATATGGCCATGTTCTAGAGGCATTCTCTCCTGACGTTTCGCCTGCATCTATGGCAAGCATCCTCAGAGGTAGTGAGGTCTGTTGGAACTAGGAAAATGGGTTTATATATCTGTAGAATGACCAGGGTGGGACAAAGAACTCTTGTCTGTTGGAGCTAGGTGTGAATGTTTCAACTGACCACCTTGATTAGCATTTGATGGCCTGGCAGTGCCTGGAGCAATCTTTTGTTGAGAGGTGATTAGATGTCCTTGTTGTTTCCTCTCTGTTGTTGTGCTGTTGTAATTTTAGAGTTTTTTTAATACTGGTAGCCAGATTTTGTTCATTTTCATGGTTTCCTCCTTTCTGTTGAAATTGTCCACATGCTTGTGTATTTCAATGGCTTCTCTGTGTAGTCTGACATGGTGATTGTGAGAGTAGTCCAGCATTTCTGTGTTCTCAAATAATATGTTGTGTCCAGGTTGGTTCATCAGGTGCTCTGCTATGGCTGATTTCTCTGGTTGATTCGTGTTTGGGCAATGCTGCGTTTGGTGGTCCCTATGTAGACTTGTCCACAGCTGCATGGTATACGGTAGACTCCTGCAGAAGTAGAGGATCCCTCTTGTCCTTTGCTGAACGTAGCATTTGTTGGATTTTCTTGGTGGGTCTGTAGATAGTTTGTATGTTGTGTTTCCTCATCAGCTTCCCTATGCGGTCAGTGGTTTCCTTGATGTATGGCAAGAACACTTTTCCTATTTCTCCCAGTAAACTGGGCTGGGATTTCTGGGAGTTGTAGGCAGAGGCGGCCCTAGGTAATTTTCAACGGTAACCAAACAGTATTTTGGCGCCCCCCCCCCAAACCAATAATTGATATATTTTCTGTTTTCGTGGGAGTTCTGTGTGCCATATTTGGTTCAATTCCATCATTGGTGGAGTTCAGAATGCTCTTTGATTGTAGGTGAACTATACATCCCAGTAACTACACTTGCCGCACTTGCTCCCTGGCCTGGCCCGCTTTGGGTCCGGAGGCGTGCCTGAAGACCCCGGCATGTGCACCAAAAGTCACCTCTTCTCCTGACTTTCTCCTCAGCCATTGGGACCAAGAGAGAGAGAGAGAGAGAGGTGGAGATGCCCACCTTTCCTGAAGGTAGGCGCAAAAACAAAGGAGGGAGCGGAGGTGGGAGATACCTCCAGCCGGAGGGGCTCTCTCTCTCTCTTGGTCCCAATGGCTGAAGAGAAAGTCAGGAGAAGAGGCGACTTTTGGTGCGCACGCTGGGGTCTTCAGACACACCTCCGGACCCAAAGCGGGCCAGGCGAGGCAGCTCCGCTCCTTGGCCCACCCGTGGATTGGGGAGAGGAGAGGAGGCGGGTGGAGCGCCGGGGGATCGGGAAAGGGAGCCGGTCATGGGGAAGGGATCGAACGCGGAGAACGATTGAGCGCCGGCTCTGCTCGCGCACCCGGTGGCCAGGTGGAGCAGGAACGAGGGGGGCTAGGCGAGGCTCAAGGGCCCGGCCCCTTTGGAAAGAGGATCGCCCGGCAGCGAGGCAAGAAAGCCGAGGGCTGTTGTGAGCTGAGGGGGCACTCCTCAAGTGGCGGTCGAGGGGCATTTACAGAGGCGCCTCTGTGCCCCTGGCAAAAAAAAAGTGTTCTGCGACCGCTTACTTCGCGTAATGGACGAGCCGCCCCTGGATATTGGTCAGAACCCTCAAGAGCTCTATGTAGGAATTTCTATAGAAACTTGTCTACCCAGTTAATTATGAATGGTTTAGATTTGTGTTTGTTTTAAATTATGCATCTAACTTCAGTGCTTTACCACAGGAAGATCCAATGTTTTATTACATGAAGGATAGGTTACAAGACGTATATTCTCACACTTTTTATTTTCATTGATTTGAACAAATGTACACAATTTCTAACAACAAATATAATGTACTAACAGTGTCCTTTCCTTCCCCCCAATCATTCCTTCTACTTTTTCATGAATCAGTTTGCAACAATACAGTGAACATCTGCTTTTCTAACACTGAAAATAGATACAACACAAGGAGACAAAATATGAAACAACTGCTAGTTCCAGATAGGTTATTTTACCAAACAATAAATAGCTGTGTTATTAGGCTCCTTTTGTTGAAACCCCGCAGTCTCTGAAAGCCAGTTAATAGTAGTTTTGGAGACATGAAATGCTACATACATACAATACAGTCAATAAGGAGTTAAGCAAGAGAAAGCTTCACACTAATCATTCATAAACTACTCCGCAGAAACACAAATAAGTTAATTAACACTTTTAATGCAGAAATGGCAAGAAATTAAGATGCAGTTTCAGTGATTAATTGCCATTTATTTGAAAACAATGAGAGAAAAGTCTCACAGTATCTCTGTATCCTCCAAGTCTACACTGATCTGGTTTGACAGTGGAAGCTGTTTTGCAAAAACACTCAATGCATACATTTGGGGCATACCTACTTGATTCCAGTTCAGTATTGAAAAGGACAAGTTAGAACTGGAAGTGTCCTTTGTAGAAGACTAATTCAAGAAACGTGAGTGGTGTTAGGGCAGCGTTATTTTTTTGTCTTAAGTTTTCGTTCATTATTGCAATTACATATGGGAACCAGAAATAATTGTTCGCTGATTTGAGGTAAGAAAATATGTCAGCCCAAGTAGGCTGAGCTAGATTACTGACATATCCCATACATAAGCAGCAGGAACGTCCTTCATGTCAGAGTTACATGCTCTGTAAACTAAAAGCCTTAGGCCAGTGGTTCTCAACCTGTGGGTCCCAGGTGTTTTGGCCTACAACTCCCAGAAATCCCAGCCAATTTACCAGCTGTTAGGATTTCTGGGAGTTGAAGGCCAAAATATCTGGGGGACCCACAAGGTGAGAACCACTGCCTTAGGCAAAGATAGTCTCTTATCCAAAGTTAAGAATAGCTATTTTACAGAACTGAAGGAGTAATGAAAGCAATTTTATGGAAATTCTTTCTTTGTTTTGACCAAACAAAATATTTTGAGCTCTCACATTTGTGGTAATAAATTTATAGGTTGTGCCAGAATGTAAACAATGTAAGGAAAAAAGTCTGGCTGACTGGTCCACAGTTTGTCATGCACTTTGCACATGAGAAATAAAGAAAAATACTTAAGCAGATGTCTTGTAACGTGAGAGGTTTTAGGAAGAAGGGGAAAAGCTATTCCTGTGACAGTTGTAAGAATCCCTGACCTTGAAAAACAAATACAATCCATAATTAAAGAAAACTAGATACACCTTTGGAGAGAAGAGCTGCTGTTCCTCTTGGACACTCCTTTGTCCAGCAGTTCTGGAGATTTATTGTCGAAGGTTTTCATGGCCGAAATCACTGGGTTGTTGTAGGTTTTTTCGGGCTATATGGCCATGTTCTAGAGGCATTCTCTCCTGACGTTTTGCCTGCATCAATGGCAAGCATCCTCAGAGGTACAGACCTCACTACCTCTGAGGATGCTTGACATAGATGCAGGCGAAACGTCAGGAGAGAATGCCTCTAGACCATGGCCATATAGCCCGAAAAAACCTACAATAACCCAGTGCTGGAGATTTTCAGCACTCTTGCGTTGAAGGAGAAATTGGGGAAGTAATTTTAGCTACAGTGTTTGTGTTCTATAGTGGCAAGAGCAGCTTCAAAATACAATAAATAAATCCTACCTCTCAAGTGTCAGAACTACTTAACATGTAATTAGAAACCAGGTTCAGCTACTCTTATGTTCTCTCAATACATCAACATGATTTTTTCCTCCCCATTTATGCTTTGACTCCCTTAGTTCTCTTCCAAAAAGAGAGAAACTGTCCGCTGAGGTCAAATCTGGTGGCCGACACTTCAGGTTACGGGAACCATTATGAAATATAGCTTTAAGCACAGGTTCACATCCACACATTGAGCTACTAAACTGAACAGGAATGTATTAAAGATACTTTTTTTCAGCAAAATGTACATCTTCTATTACCAGTAAAACCAGAAGGAACACACTCCACTGGGGCTCCCAGAAGAACGCCCTCTAGTCTTCTAGACTGCGGAATGCATTCTGCATATCTTCAAAAAGCTGTGCATAATCTGCTTTGATCTTTGCCTCGCCGTCTTTCACTGGGTCCTGAAAGTCAACGGATCGAAAGAAAGACATTGCCTGAATTTAAAAGCAGTCACTTACGAATATTTCCTTCCTAAAGAGTCTCTAACCATAGTCCCCCCATAAGATCATCAGCATACTACATTGCAGCCATGTGCAATCCATGGTTCTAAATGGTTCTAAAGTACTTACAAAACTAAAGTTCTGGTAGTGAAAACTAGGTGAAAACTACGGGGCGCTGGTGCTTTGCTTCTACAGTGTTGCTAAAGTTCTGGTGGTGAAAATTTCAGAACTCTATCAAAACTCAAAATTTCATTATTATTTCATTATTGGTAATTTTTATGACAGAACCTATTAGGAACTGCCAGGGGCACAAATAGCAAAACAACCACCACAGGGGTGTTAATCCTTCCCTATGCTAGAGAGAGAGAGAGGCTGAAATTACACTTAAAAGTGTATTTTTTCTGACTTACAGACAATTTCAGCTTAGGAACAAACCTACAGAAACCTATCATGTTTGTTATCTGGGGACTGCCTGAGCATGAATTCTTATAATAAAAGATTGCAAGTCAAGCCAAAATGATAACTTTCTCCGTTTCCCAATAAGGATCATTTAGCACAAGTGAGAAAAGAAAATTATGTGTTACTTTGCTGTCACTCCAATGTGAAGACATACCTTGAATTTCATAGATGTGAGTCGGTAGAGGATCTCGTTCATGTTCTCTCTGATAATGGCCCAAGTAATCTTATTGTCACTCTGGGCGGTCGTCTCAACTGCTCGGCGTGCCATATCGTAGAACGCAATCATGTTGGACAGCATCCCCACAGTCTTATAAAATGGGCAGAACCTAAGGAAAATAGTACAGAAGTGACTACAAACCCAGCAGATCAAAGAGTCCAGCAGCAGCTAAATAGTCTAAGCTGTTCCTATCTTTACCTTTTGGAAATAGCATGTTGTTCCCAAACGTTTCTACTTCACCCACCCAGATAATAAGTAAAAGAATAACGGGCCCTTTGTCTCATTGTAATCTATTATTTTGACTGGGGGATGTAAGAGGCTGCTCTCACACTGAAACCCTTTTCAAACTTTTTCAGCCACAGAGCCCTTTTTGAAGCAAAAGTTTCTCATAGAGCCCCAAGAAATACATCCTCTTATATATTATATATAATGTACTAGCTGTCCCCTGCCACGTGTTGCTGTGGCCCAGTCTGTTGATCTGGAAAATAAAGTAATGAGAAAGTGTTGGTTTCTAATATATGTAATTTCTTTATGCTTGTGGGTAAACAGTATTTCTTGCTGTTTCTTTGTCAGTGTTGATGTGGAGAGTGTCTGGTTTGCCCACCTTGGAACATGCAACACATAATTGTCCTTCTTTAGGGGTCCCTTTCAAATCTATGGTAGTGTGTTTGTGTGAATCATATATATATCTATATCTATTCCTGGATGGCTTTTTGTCAGGAGGACTTTGATTACGTTTTCTTGCCCTGATGAAAGGAGTTGGATTGGATGGCTTTAAGTATATTCTGTTGCTCATGGGGGTTCTGTGTGGGAAGTTTGTCCCGATTCTGTCATTCGTGGGGTTCAGAATGCTCTTTGATTGTAGGTGAACTGTGAATCCCAGTGACTACAACTTCCAAATGTCAAGGTCTATTTCCCCCAAACTCCATCTGTGTTCATATTTGGGCATATTGAGTGCTTGTGCCAAGTTTGGTCCAGATCCATCATTGTTTGAGTCCACAGTGCTCTCTGGATGTAGGTGAACTACAACTCCCAAACTCAAGGTCAATGTCCACCAAACCCTTCTAGTATTTTCTGTTGGTCATGGGACTTCTGTGTGCCAAGTTTGGTTCAATTCCATCGTTGGTGGAGTTCAGAATGCTCTTTGATTGTAGGTGAACTATAAATCCCAGCAACTACAACTCCCAAATGACAAAATCATAATTTTTTGAGTGATGGTCACTCCTTGTGTTGTGAGACATTTTGTTGCCAAATTTGGTGTGATTTCGTTTATTGGTTCTTTTGTTTTTAAGGTACTCATTATGCACAGAGGATTTTTATATAGAGAGAGATATATATATCAGTCATGGGCAGAGCTTTTAACTAGCATAAACTTAGCAGTATTTCAGTAGAAGTCCTCAGGAGCAATCCAGTCCAACCCCCTTGTGCCATGCAGGAAAAGCACAATCAAAGCACCCTCAACAGATGACCATCAGCCTTTGTAAAAATAATAATAATAGGAGAAACCACAGAGGCCATCCAGTCCAACCCTCTTTTGCCAGGCAGGAAAAGCACAAACAAAGAACCCCACAGATGGTCACCCCAGCCTTTGTAGTAGTAGTAGTAGTAGTAGTAGTAGTAGTAGTAATAATAATAATAATAATAATAATAATAATAATAATAATAATAATAATAGAAACCCCAGGGGCCATCCAGCAACTCCCTTCTGCCATGTACGGGATTGAGGGGAAATAGGGTTTTTGAAGCAAGCACGGCGAGGGGGAAAGGTTTTGGCAGTGAGGAAGTGAGAAAAAAAGGCTTTTGGTGGCAAGGGGGGTGGGAGGAGCAGGAAAGAGGAGGGAAAGTGTGGAGGGGGAGGAGGAGGGAAACATGCGGAGGCTCTCAATATGCTCCTTGGATCCCCAAGGGCTCGGCGGAGCACACTTTGAGAACCACTGCTTTGGAGAGTAAACAAATTGCTCACTGCATACCTGTCATACGGTGTATAGCCATTTTGCTGTAAGAAGTCATCTTTTATGAGTTTGGCCACTTCTAATGTGATTTTATCTGTTTCTGCCAAGGAAGCCTAACATGTGTAAGAGAAAGAGAGACCTGGTTAGCATCTTGGTTTGCCACTTTATCCATCATAGTAAATATGTTCAACAAGTGACCCTTGGAATTATTTTCTCTGCAAATGATTAGTTCAGATATCTGGAGGCATCTATCTGTCCCCTCATCTCCCCAGAAATCTGGGAAATAAATTAAATACAATAAATTCAAAGTACAATAACATTTAAAGTCAATTAATCACCTCTTCAAACATTTTAAAACATATTAGAAAGGATACATCATTTTAAAAAGATAAAGAAAACATGACCAATAACTGCCCCCCACCCACCAATTAGATATTAAAGTTAAAAGATAAAGGTTGTCCCCTGACATTAAGTCCAGTCATGTCCGACTCTGGGGTGTGGTGCTCATCTCCATTTCTAAACCTGAAGAGCCGGCGTTGTCCGTAGACACCTCCAAGGTCATGTGGCCGGCATGACTGCATGGAGCGCTGTTACTTTCCCGCCGGAGCGGTACCTATTGATCTACTCACATTGCATGTTTTCGAACTGCTAGGTTGGCAGAAGCTAGGGCTGACAGCGGAAGCTCATGCCGCTCCCCAGAATCGAACCTGTGACCTTTCGATCAACAAGCTCAGCAGCTCAGTGCTTTAACCCATTATATTATTATTAATACTATAATTATATTTTTATTATATTATTTTTATTATATTATACTATTTATAATTATTTATAATATATAATTATATTATTATATTAAACGCCTCCTTAAAAAAATACATCTTTGCCTGCTAGTGAGGGGTGAGCTGGGAGGGGCCCAGTCTGGATATACCAGAGGGTGAGGGTCACCACTGAGAAGGCTCTCTCTCTTGTGTTCTCACCAAGGGAGCCTATGCTCATAGAATCATAGAGTTGGAAGAGACCTCATGGGCCATCCAGTCCAACCCCCTGCCAAGAAGCAGGAATATTGCATTCAAAGCACCCCTGACAGATGGCCATCCAGACTCTGTTTAAAAGCCTCCAAAGAAGGAGCCTCCACCACACTCCAGGGCAGAGAGTTCCACTGCTGAACAGCTCTCACAGTCAGGAAGTTCTTCCTAATGTTCAGATGGAATCTCTTGCTTCCTCAACTTCTGTGGGAGCACAACTGCCACTTGAGCTCAGATCCTGGCTTATATAGGTTAAACAGGAATGACTCACTGCTAGAACAATGAGCCACAATGAACAATGCCTCAGGCCAAGACAAAACTTTTCTGTAAAGATTTTGCACGTTTGCATGCGAAGTGAAGTTTATACCCTATGCTGGATGGGTCCAGACTGTCTGAAGGACTGCACTTCAGACTATCTGAAGGACTGCACTGGGAAGACAAGCGGACAAATGTCAGCATGCTGGAAGAAGCAAAGACCACCAGCATTGAAGCGATGGTCCTCCAACATCAACTCCGCTGGGCCGGCCACGTTGTCCGGATGCCTGACCACCGTCTCCCAAAGCAGTTGCTCTACTCTGAACTTAAGAACGGAAAACGGAATGTTGGTGGGCAGGAAAAGAGATTTAAAGATGGCCTCAAAGCCAACCTTAAAAACTCTGGCATAGACACTGAGAACTGGGAAGCCCTGGCCCTTGAGCGCTCCAGCTGGAGGTCAGCTGTGACCAGCAGTGCTGCAGAATTCGAGGAGGCACGAGTGGAGGGTGAAAGAGAGAAATGTGCCAGGAGGAAGGCGTGTCAAGCCAACCCCGACCGGGACCGCCTTCCACCTGGAAACCAATGCCCTCACTGCGGAAGAAGATGCAGAGCAAGAATAGGGCTCCACAGCCACATGCGGACCCACAAGGAAACCCATAATGGAAGACCATCTTACTCGTCCAACAAGGGATCGCCTAAGTAAGTAAGTAAGGGTTTATACCATTTGCAAAGATGACTACAAAACTGTAACAACCCAATGGGGTTGGCATTCTGTGCTGTGCTCTCCGATCCCGCTTCACTCACCTTCCCCACCAGCTGGACAATCTCCGCAAGGTCCTCCTCTTCCTGCAAGATTTCCTTTGCTTTAGTCCTCAAGGGGACAAACTCTGGAAACTGCTTGTCATAATACTCATCCAGAGCACGCGTGTATTTGCTGTAGCTGATAAGCCAATTCACAGATGGAAAATGCTTACGCTGAGCAAGCTTCTTATCCAAGCCCCAGAACACCTAAACAAAGATACACTGACTGTTTTAAACAGAACCAGGCATACATAATAACTGCAGATGCAGGACCAGTTTCTCAAAAATGTGCTCTAACTGAATACCACACAAGCCACTGGAGAACTGTTAGGAGACTGAGACTCCTGTCTGGTCCAAGCATTTCTAACGTTGACCTTTACTTTATTTTACCTATCATTCTCAGGTATTTTAGTGAGCATGGCAGCATGTATCTGAGGAAACAGACTTATAATGGTTCCCTAAAATTGCTCTAGAAGTTGTTGTTTTTAAAGGATAGATTTTCTTTTTTTAAAGGACAATTTTTCTTTTTTGTCAGACCCACACTTCTAAGAATTGCTCATCTAACTCTTAAGACTTTGTCTGAAAGAAAGGTAAGCATTTCAACATCACATAAAAATGGTTTTATAGCCCTTTGTAGACTGATTTATTCCGGCATATATGCAGGAGTAGTCTTATACATGATATTAGTCTTATACACAGGAGTAGTCTTATACATGGGAGTAGTCTTATAGAGCGGGTGCTGAAACTTCCAATCGGATTGGAGAATCTGTGGTATAAGACGACCCCCAACTTTTCCAGTTAAAATATAGAGTTTGGGATATATTCACCATATAAGACTACCCCTCTTCCAACACACACCAAATAAAAATTAAGAAGCATCAGTTTTGATTTCAATATGGTAATTTTCCTATTACTGTACCTCCTTCTCTGCCTCTCAGATCTCGCACATGCGCACCTGCACCACTTCACTGCAGTCTTCAGGAGCCAGATCTGAGAGACAGAGGAGGAGGTACGGTAATAGGATACAAGGGCGGGCCAGACAGGTAAAAGAGGTGTGTTTTTCTGGGCCCAGAGCCACACTATCTCTTTTTTCCATAACCCTGGACGCCTGCAGCTTGCTCTGCCCTTCACTTACACCTTCCTGGTGAGGTGCCCCTTCACCTCACCATCGGGACTGCATTATGGATTTTCTTCTAATGTACTTGTGCAGCGTTGCCCTTAATGATGTCATACAGTCGCTGCATACGGCAGGGATGCGGCCTGCCATTTTTGAGCTCCCCCCACAATATGCAGCAACCACAGATTCTCCAATCCGGATTGGAAGTTTCAGCACCCACTCTATAAGACTACTCCCATGCATAAGACTACTCCCGTGTAAAACACTACACCAACGTATAAGACTAATACAATGTATAAGACTACTCCTACGTATAAGATGACCCCGCGTATAAGACGACCCCTGACTTTTGAGAAGATTTTCTTGGGTTAAAAAGTAGTCTTATACGTCAGAATATACGGTAACTGCTTTCTGAGGTCCTGCAAAATGCATTTAATAATGGGTTGTTGTAGGTTTTTTCGGGCTATATGGCCATATTCTAGAGGCATTCCCTCCTGACATTTCGCCTGCAGCTATGGCAAGCATCCTCAGAGGTAGTGAGGTCTGTTGGAACTAGGAAAATGGGTTTATATATCTGTGGAATGACCAGGGTGGGACAAAAAACTCTTGTCTGCTGGAGCTAGGTGTGAATGTTTCAACTGACCACCTTGATTAGCATTTGATGGCCTGGCAGTGCCTGGGGCAATCTTTTGTTGAGAGGCGATTAGATGTCCCGATTGTTTCCTCTCTGCTGTTTTGCTGTTGTAATTTTAGAGTTTTTTAAATACTGGTAGCCAGATTTTGCCAATTCGGTCATGTCATAGTCACTAGCTGGATTAAAGAATGCTTCACACTGAAGTTTATATTTTGCTTTAAAACCTGTACCTACCTGAACAATGCCCAGAGTAGCAGAAGTGACTGGATCAGAGAAGTCACCACCAGGAGGAGACACACTAAGAATGGATGAGAGTTGAGAAGTGCAAAGGTATGAACAATAGCATTATTCATGTCAAACTAAGGAGAACATCTACCATATAATCTTAGACTCAGTGTTCAGATTTCCACTTACAAGCCAAATTCTTCGGGGCTTTTTGGAGTAGAAATCTGAGACGAGAGTGTACCTAATCACTCCTGGAACACTGAGCTGATGATAAGTCAAATTCATGATAAATTGTAGTATGCTAAAACCAAGATCTGAACCAGCAGTTAATGAATATTTTTCTCAAGACCACAGTTAATTAAGAAGGTACAATAGATCTGAGAACAAAGCTGTTCAGACTGGACAGTGAATTAGATTCAAAGGTTTTTAACGTACACCTCTATCCAATACATGCTTTTGCTGTCGTTGTTTGTTCCCACCCCCCAAATGGTATGTCACTCTCACAGTTTCCAGTTCTCACAAAGATACCGTATTATGTTTCTAATGGAACAGACAATTGGTCTTATCCTAGCTCCTATGATATTCTATTTATTTGCTCTGATAGTGTAATACCAATTCAGTCCATTGGTCCAGCTAGCTCATTATTGTTTACAGTGGCCCGAAACACTTCTCCAGTACAAGAATTCCACCCCTACTGGAGATGCCACAGGTTTCTTCCTGGAAGGCATCAATTCTGTGATAGAGCTAAGAGCATTCCCTGTAAGGGGATATTCAAGCTCACATAAGTTGGGAGAAAGTTACATACAGTATGAGGATGATCATTCAGATGCCAGAGTTACACAGAATTGCACAGAAATAAGGCAGGGTGGGAAGCAGTGTCTGCTCCCACCCACCACCCCCGAAAACCAGACAACTTTTCTCTCTAGTTCTAACTTGTAGTCACTATCAAATGTGTTTATTGCTTTTATACGAAAACCATCCTTCACATTCCATATAACTGTCTCTTCACTTTGGAGTGAAAATTTATACTATGATCTAACTATTTTCCAAAAGCGAGTGTGTGTACATTCCATGCTATTCTTTCTAAGTCTCATTTGTATGTTCTGTGCATTTTAATATATGTATTTTATAGAAGTACATTTTAATGTGTGTGTTTTATGATAATGTGTTTTTTTAGCTATGTTGTTTTATGGTGATGTGTTATTTGCTATGTTGCCCACCACAAGGAGAGGTGAATAAGAAATAATAATAATAACAATAATAATAATAATGACCGAATTGACAAAAAACAAGAAAAACTCAGCCATTATCAAGACCTCGAATTCAAACTGCAAAGGCTCTGGCATAAACCAGTACAGGTGGTCCCAGTGGTCATCGGCACACTGGGTGCCATGCCAGAATACCTCAGCCGGCATTTGGAAACAATAAACATTAACAAAATCATGATCTGACAACTGCAAAAGGCCACCTTACTTGGATCTGCACACATCAATAGAAAATACATCACACAGTTCTAGACGCTTGGGAAAATCACGACTTGTGATTTTGTGATACGAAATCCAGCATATAGATCTTGCCATTTCATGCCTATGGGTCATTATTATTTGATGACATACTGTGTTTTTGTGTCAACAATAATAACGACCCATAGGCAATGCATTAATTTATAGAAAGAATTTTCCTAAAGCCAAAATATAATTTTTTTCAATATACCATATTTCTTCAATTGTGAAGTGCCACCGATTGTAAGAAGCATCCCAATTTCAATACAACCACCAATAACAAAACCACATAAGATACATGTGCAATTCTAAGCCGCTGCCCATTTTTAGAGATGTTTTTATAAGGAAAAAGCATGTCTTAGAATTGAAGAACTATAGTATACGAGGGGTATTTTTTAAGAAAGGTCCGTTTTGTTGTAGACACTAGTAGTTCGCGCGCATACCGCAACGAGCGTGTGCGTCGTGTACCGGCATGCCTCGGGAACAACTGTGCTCAGTTTCTGCTCTGTAGCTAACCTGTACGGTTCTGTTCTGTGCTTTAAAAATGTTTAAGACTAACAACTCACCCGCCGCATGTGAGGTTTGCTCAGTGATACAGTTTTTGTCAGCAAGGAACCTGCCTTCTGCAGAAATTCATCAACAGATTTATGAAGTGTACAGTGATACTGTTATGAGTGAAAGCAAAGTGCATAAGTGGGTACGACAATTCAAAGATGGCCGTGACAACGTCCATGAGGAGGACATCTCCAGTCGCCCTTCTTTGATTACAGACAATTTGGTTATCGGAGCAGGCGGCAAGTTTTTATGAAGAGGGTATTTTAAAATTGGTTCAGAGGTATGGTAAGTGCTTGAACAAACTTGGCAACTATGTTGAAAAATAGAGTGAAGTATGTACTTTCTGAAATTAAATTTACTTTTTTGAAATAAACCTTCGTTGTGTACTTATGTTCCAACGGACCTTACTTAAAAAATACCCCACATATTTGTATTTTAGACTCACCAAACTTGAACTTCCTCTGGTAATTTCCATAACATGCAGGAAAATTAACAATAGTGTTTCCTTAAAAATCCCCCCCCCCCTATTTTGACTAGTTTGAGGATGGATCATTCTCTCATGTCCCCGCATGAGGAGCTGGAGCTGATAGAGGGAGCTCATCTGCCTCTCCCCAGATTCAAACCTGCGACCTGTCGGTCTTCAGTCCTGCCAGCACTGCACCACCAGGGGCTCCTAGGATGGACCATAATCACAGTAGATTCTTCGAGGAAACTAGTATTTGTGGGTACAAACACTTTCTTTCCAGAATCTTCCTTTGTTTATACAGGACATTTCTTAGCAAAATAATTGCTTTGCTTTGTGCAAGAAAGACAGGCCACATTGTATGTGCCATTAGAAACAGAACATTTAACTACACCAGAGATGAAATGATTTAGCATAAATACTCACGCCCCAACAATGCTGACACTTCCTTCCCTCTCAGGGTTGCCAAGACACTTAACTCTACCAGCTCTTTCATAAAAAGAAGCCAAGCGGGCACCAAGATAGGCTGGGTAACCACTATCTGCAAACAGCAAAGCAAATGTGGTTAGCTTCACAACCAATAAGGAGACTTGAGCAAAGGAGATTTTGATAAATATTTTCAAGATGGTAAACACTCACCAGCTGGCATTTCAGCAAGACGCCCTGAAATTTCCCGAAGGGCTTCAGCCCATCGAGATGTGGAGTCAGCCATCATGCTGACATGGTAGCCCATATCACGGAAGTACTCGGATAAGGTAATCCCTAAAACAAAAAGAAAATTCTAGGACTTGGATGGCAAAAATCCTGGCTTATTATGATTTATCAGCAACTTTTTCAGAGGTAACGTTAGACTTTTAGGTCTGTGTAACTGCAATGGAAAGGCAAAAAGGGAGACAGTTTCATCACTCGTGTGTTATGTTTCACTAATTCATTTTCACTTTCCTTTACCCTCCCAACCCTGCTATATGCCTGTGAGACATGGACTGTCTACAGACGTCACATGCAACTCCTGGAACGATTCCATCAGCGCTGCCTCCAGAAAACCCTGCAAATCTCTTGGGAAGACAGGCGGACAAACGTCAGCATGCTGGAAGAAGCAAAGACCAGCAGCACTGAAGCGATGGTCCTCCGCCATCAACTCCACTGGACCGGCCATGTTGTCTGGATGCCCGACCACCGTCTCCCAAAGCAGTTGCTCTACTGCGAAATCAAGAACGGAAAACGGATTGTTGGTGGACAGGAAAAGAGATTTAAAGATGGGCTCAAAGCCAACATTAAAAACTGTGGCATAGACACTGAGAACTGGGAAGCCCTGGCCCTTGAGCACTCCAGGTCAGCTGTGACCAGCAGTGCTGTAGAATTTGAAGAGGCACGAATGGAGGGCGAAAGAGAGAAACGTGTCAAGAGGAAGGCGCGTCAAGCCAACCCTGACCAGGACCACCTTCCACCTGGAAACCAATGCCCTCACTGCGGGAGAAGATGCAGATGAAGAATAGGGCTCCATAGCTATCTACGGACCCACCCTGGAAGATTATCCTACTCGGACAACGAGGGATCACCTAAGTAAGTAAGTAAGAGTCAAGAGAAGCAGTTTTAGCCATTGTGCTTTGCCTGCTCAAAATTTTCAACAATTCACTCCTGAGAACAGAATTTACAATTCAGAGTAAAATAAAAAAGCTAATATATAATTAAGATGTCACTAAAATATATGGTTAGTTCACCAGTTTCTCATATGTTTCACATCAATGGCATGTTGGAAGAACAAGAACTTTGTTCCTTTTTCTTCCAAGTCATGATGGCTCATGTTGGAAATAGTTCACAGAGTTCTTTGTTAACTCAGGAAGTTAGGTAACAGCAATCTCTCTAGTTAGAAGGCTATGGCTGGAATAACACTGCCATATAATCCAGTTCAATGCAGTTAATCTGCATTCTGAAACTGGATTATATGGCAGTGTAGATCCGGCCTAAGAACTCTCCCATATAGGATTTGCTTCTCCATCTTTTCTTACCAGTATAGATGGAAGCCTCCCTGGCAGCAACAGGCATGTTGGAAGTGTTTGCTACAAGAGCAGTTCTCTTCATAATGCTTTCTACTTTGCCATCAACTTCCATGGTGAGCTATCAAAACAAAATATTGAATTTTTCAAATGGAGCAGGACTTAACTGACAATAAAGGAGCATTCACCCTCCTAACACAAACAGAAGATCATTGGCAGTTACTAACATATTGCTGAACCCAAGTAAGATCAAACTGTTTCACTAAATTTGCAGGAGAACAGGCTGATAATGCAGAAGGCGACCCACAGTAATAGTAGTAGTAGTAGTAATAATAATAATAATAATAATAATAATAAACTTTATTGATACCCCACCACCATCTCCCCAAGGGGACTTGGGGCGGCTTACATGAGGCTACGCCCATCAATACAATATACACAATATAACACAAAAACACAACAGAAAATCAGAAAATAAAATAACCTAAAATACAAAACCAATGTATATAAGCGACACAACAATATAAAATCAAAACATTAAAAATGATCACCATGGGCAGGGCCAAATTCAAGGATTAAAATTTTAAAACACTGGGAGATACGGCAATGTAAAATATCAGGGAGGAGCTCTGGGGGATGAGGTAGGATTTACTTGCACAACAAGAAAATAAAGTGCTTCTGAGGGCATTTTATGGAGATGCTGTAGGTTTTTTCGGGCTGTATGGCCATGGTCTAGAGACATTCTCTCCTGACGTTTCGCCTGCATCTATGGCAAGCATCCTCAGAGGTAGTTAGGTATGTTGGAACTAGGAAAAAGGGTTTATATATCTGTGGAATGACCAGGGTGGGACAAAGGACTCTTGTCTGCTGGAGCTAGGTGTGAATGTTTATGGAGAGTTTGGTCAGGGATTATTATGTAATCAATCATTGAAGGCACATTGGAATAGCCAAGTTTTCAGGCTCCTCCTGAAGAGTGCCAGAGTGGGGGCTTGCCTAATTTCTCTGGGGAGCGAATTCCAGAGCCAAGGGGCCACTACAGAGAAGGCCCTCTCCCCTTGCGGGAGCGAGAGCAAGGCCTTTCCGGAAGATCGAAGATCGTGTGGATTTGTAGAGGGAGCATTTCCTTCTACAAACCCACATGATCTTCCATCTTCTGGAAAGGCCCTGCTCTCGCTCCCGCAAGGGTCGCGCAGTGAAGCAATCTGCAATGAGCTCTCTCCTTACTTTGCTCTTTGGCCTCTTGGCTAGACTGTAAACATTATGTGCAATGCTCTTCAAAAGAAAAAGAAATTATTCCTGCACTTGAGTCTACCTTGTGCAAAACAAATATTTATTTCTTCTTCTAGCCCTAAGGAACTACCGTACTCAAAATTTACAACTACACAAAGGAGAGAAAAAAATATAGGGCATCTATTTCAGCATCTTAAAATATCCTGCATTTGAAATATAAGAGAAGAGCATAGTATTAATTTAACCAAGTCTTAAAATATTTATAAGTGTTTCAATATAATGTCAATATAAGTACAGGGTGAGGCAGCATAACTTCCTTTTTTCAAAACTTAATAAAACCCATTGTATGAATCAGGAATTTTTTAAAATTTTTATCATGTAGGCGCATACCTAAAGTTTTGTTTTACGTAGTTTTGAAGATCAAATTAGGTAGGTGACGTCCCCCATTCTCCATACACTGAGTAAACCGATTTCTGGTGTTTGTCATGACTCTTGCCAGCATAGCAGGCGTTATGTTGGCAATTTCTTCCTGGACGTTGATCTTCAAATCTTGTAGGGTCCTTGGACAGTTACAGAAACACGGGATTTCAAAAAAACCCATAGAAAAAAATCACAAGGGGTCAAATCTAGAGAGCAGACCGTCCACTCCAAATCCGCTCGAAAAGTAGGCCTCAATGGCAAAAGCACGCTCCTCACTGTTCCAATGCATGATGGCGACTGAACTGTGTCAGGACAAAACTTTATACTCCCGCCTCTTGAACGAGACCACTAGCGCTCCGCTACATCTTCAACCGACTGAATGGCACCATTTTAAAAAAAGGAAGTTATGCTGCCTCACCCTGTATATTCCAAGCCATGAATGTGTTTAAAATTAACACACAAATTAGATTTAGGCATTATAATCTTGACTTGCACCACAATAAAATTTGAAAAGTAACCTTTTAAACGCTTCTATGGAAGATAACCCGGCACTTAACATGATTATTTTTATTTTTGTTTGTTTGTCAAACAAACATAAGATACCAGTTTATCCCCCGCATTATACATTTTTTTAAAGTTCCCATTTATTTTGTCCTCTTGAAAATGAAAACCAGCACTTGGTCAGACTGCATGATGCCACCAAGACTACCTTCTAAATTCCATTTGAAATGGACTCCCACATACAAACACCAACCTCTGGGAAGTCTCTCAGTACTTCAGACATTTCATTTCCTCGTTCTCCACAGCCAACATAAATAATAACATCACTGTTGGAGTATTTGGACAGGGACTGAGAAATCACAGTTTTCCCACAGCCAAAGGCCCCAGGGATTGCCGTTGTACCTCCTTGAACACACCTAAAAGGAAAAGACAGAAGGGATTCATATTAGAAGACATGGCTATACACAGTCATAATTTCAGCCAGAGGCACTTCCACCTAGATACTATAAAGAGAAATGAGATTCCCCCTAAACAATAAGATAAACTGCTGCTCTGAGATCAGAGTGAAGAGAGAGGCCAGGAAGGCCGTTCCATCTTGCCTCCAATGTCATCAGTTGGAGCGGAGCCTAAGTGATCTGAAGGAAAAAAGTGACTTTGAAACTGAAGCTTGAGTTCCCAGTTTGCCAGTTGAGTTTGGAGTTGGAGCTTGGAAAGGGTAGAACGAAGATGTTGGGTGTTAGTGAGAGCAGTTTGGAGTTTTGAAGAAGGGCTTTGGGTCAGTCTTTTTTAGTATTCAGGGTAGCTATAGAGAAGTATAGCTAGAATACTGTGTGGAGCAGAACCCCGTCAGTGGTCTGTTCTTTTCCTAAGGAAGGCTAGTTCAGGTTTTGGCTAGATTCCTAAGGGGGATTTTTGTGGGAGTTACTTTCAGAGATTCATTTCCTGAAGTAATTTTCTGTGTTGAAACTTTAAGACTTGTAACCCAGTAGTTTTTAAGATCTCTTCTCAAAAATAACCATAAGCTTTGTATGCCAGATTTTTACTGAAACCATCAAGCATTTGTACCTGAAATAGTCAAGCCTGTTCAGTAAAAGTTCTTGTTATTTTTATCAACTTACATCAGCCTCAGTGTGAATACCTTTGTGGTCAAAGTGTTATTCAAGTCAGCTTTTAATAGCTTCTAAGAAAACTAGAGTAACACAGAGTGTGTTACTGAACAACCTCTCAATAGTACCTCAGCCTGTGCATTAGTAATATGGTGGCAGCGGAAACCTTTTAAAGAATCATTTTAAGTCTCTCAGTTCCAGTGGTTCCCAGTTCCTAACTTTTAAATATACAGTTGGTTTTTAACAACTATTCTCCCTCTATATTTTTGATGAGCTAATCTGGAGAGGTGTAATTGTTATAATTTGATAGGTTGCTGTGTGGTCATTATAATTTAGTGAAGCAGAGTTGGGATTTTTATTATCGAATAAAGTTCCCTACTTTCCCCCACAGTTCGTTATACCCAGCTTACAGTGGTATGCCACCTGTGCATTTTCTCAAGTGTGTGGGTGAGTGGGGTGGTAGCGGTGGCAAATCTGGCCACAACTGGTTCATGTACCTGAGGGCCCGCTTATCCCCCTACCAACCCCAGAGATTACTTCGGTCCGAAGACCAAATTTGCTTGAAGTCCCCAACATCCGGACTTACCATCTGTCCTCTACTAGGCAGAGAGCCTTCTTGATTGTGGCCCCTTATTTATGGAATGCCTTGCCAGTTGAAACCCGAACCATCCGAGAGCTACTTGCTTTTCGGAAAGCCTGTAAAACCTTTCTTTTCCGACAAGCTTTCGATGGACAAATAACTCGGGATTATGTCTGTTCTCGTTTTGATTGTATTTTAAAGTTGGTTGTATTGTTTTTAATCTACTGCTGTAAACCGCCCCGAGCCAAATTGGGAGTGGCGGTATACAAGCCAAATAAATAAATAAATAAACAAAATGTCATAGCTTCCTCCTGATTAGAACAGGGTGATATTCTCTGTATAACATTGTCCTCAAAAGTGTTTGGAAGGCACAGCTAACTATAGTAACCATACTGGTGTTAGACCTCTGAACACCTTGGGAAAATATTACTTTAAAGATTGCAATTTGAGATCTTCACATGCAATTTGAGATCTTCAGCAGAGCCTTTGTTACATCTCCCAACACTTTGCAAAGCTAAGCTGGCATGCACACATGATTTTCTCTGAAGCTGTTGTGGAACTCCCTATCAAGTTAAGTTAGACTGGCTCCATCTGTTCTGAGCATCTGGCAGGAAGCTAAAACGGTGTAAAGAGTTACAGAATCAAGCAGGGAAATCTAAGGAAGTCTTTCTGATCTCACACCTGGAATAGACTGGATATGAATCAGCCTTGCAAGCATAGTTCCTACTTACGGAAAGAGTGCATCAAGGACTCTCTGACCAGTTAAAAGAGGATGATTGGCAGGTAGCTTTTCAGTGACAGGACGTACTTGACGAACAGGCCAGACCTGGACCATAGTGAATTTCTCCTTCACTCCTTCAAATTCCAGCTCCAACACAACATCCTAAATATGAGTGGAAAAGCCAAGAATAAGCAGCAACCTAGGAAGATCTACTGGTCAAAAATCAACTAGAGTAGAAAATGTTGCTGAAAGAACAGATTGCTTGCCTCTTACTGTGGTTCTTTGAGTACTCTCACAGAAATACATTTCACACCTGGACAGAAACCCCATCTGAAATCTTCTAGAGCTGCAAAACTTGGTGAGTCACTCCACTCAGTTCGGAAACTACAGCTGGTGCAATGATCCGCGGCCAGATTGTTAACTGGAGCAAGTTACGGAGAGCGGTCAACCCTCCTGTTTAAACAGCTCCACTGGCTGCCGATAAGTTTTCGATCCCAATACAAGGTGCAGGTCATCATCTATAAAGCTCTAAACCAGGGGTCCTCAAACAGAAGGCCAGGTCACAGTCCCTTAAACTGTTAGAGGGCCGGATTATAATTTGAAAAAAATATGAATCAATTCCTATGCACACTGCACATATTTTGTTTGTAGTGGAAAAAACCCACTTAATACAATAATTAAAATGAAGAACAATTTTAACAAATATAAACTTATTAGTATTTCAATGGGAAGTGTGGGCCTGCTTTTGCCTGATGAGATAGGATTGTTGTTGTTGTTATGTGCTTTCAAGTTTCAGACTTAGGTTGACCCTGAGCGAGGGCCGGGTAAATGACCTTGGAGGGCAGCATTCGGCCCCCGGGCCTTAGTTTGAGGACCCCTGCTCTAAACGGTTCAGGACCTGCCTATCTACGTGACCGCCTCCTCCCTTACGAGCCCACGCGGTCCTTAAGATCTTTCGGGGATGCTCTTCTCTCTGGTTTTCCTCCCCCCCCCTCCAAAATTAGTCTGTGTGGGAGGTTTGGCCCAATTCTATCGTTGGTGGTGTTCAGAATGCTCTGTGATTGTAGGTGAACTACAACTCCCAAATGTCAAGATTCTATTTTCCCCAAACTCCACCAGTGTTCACATTTGGGCATATTGAGTATTCTTGTAGAGTTTGGTCCAGATCCATCATTGTTTGAGTCCACAGTGATCTTTGGATGTAGGTGAACTACAACTCCAAAACCAAAGGACACTGCCCACCAAACCCTTCCAGTATTTTCTGTTGGTCATGGGAGTTGTGTGTCAAGTTTGGTTCAATTCCATCGTTAGAGGGGTTCAGAATGCTCTTTGATTGTATGTGAACTATAAATCCCAGCAACTACAACTCCCAAATGACTAAATCTTTTTTTTTTTGAGTAAAGGACATACATTGGGTTGTTAGGTGTGTTGTGTCCAAATTTGGTGTCAATTTGTCCAGTGGTTTTTGAGTTCTGTTAATCCCACAAACTAACATTACATTTTTATTATATAGACTATTTACTTCAAGGAGCCCCCGGTGGCGCAGTGGGTTAAACCCCTGTGCCGGCAGGACTGAAGACCGACAGGTCACAGGTTCGAATCCGGGGAGAGGCGGATGAGCTCCCTCTATCAACTCCAGCTCCTCATGCGGGGACATGAGAGAAGCCTCCCACAAGGATGATAAAAACATCAAATCATCCGGGCGTCCCCTGGGCAACGTCCTTGCAGACGGCCAATTCTCTCACACCAGAAGCGACTTGCAGTTTCTCAAGTCGCTCCTGACACAACCAAAAAAAAAAAGTGCAGATTACATAAGATTACATAAGAACTCCTAGAAACCGTTTGAGGCCCGGAGTAGTGAGAACACAAAACACAGAGCACTAATGTGCATTAAAGGCTTTCTTTTGTGCACTTTTCAAGGTGTTTGTTGTCGGGGGTGCCACTATTTGGAGCTAACTTCAAACTGCATTAAATGATCAGTGTAGATGGGGCCATATTATTTCAGCAAGTAGGTAAAGGAATCTACTGCTAGGGAAATATAATAATTGGTAGGTTTCCACTAGTTTACTATCCTATCTGAAGCAGTTTTAGATAGAAACCAGGTGTTATTGAACATAACAGAATACAGAGCAGCAAACATAATGCAGAAAAAAACTTACGGATGCATCATAATTTCCAGGTGGAGCAATATATGTTACAGTACCCCTGTTTCGTGGGGGCAACATGATCTTGTGTTTGATAAGAGAGTTCTCATTCACTATGCCATAAATATCTCCACCAGTGATGTGACTGCCAACCTGAAATAAAAAAAAAAACTACTGAAAAAGATGTATCTACACATTGCTATATTTCCCTAGGAAAGAGATTGTCAGCCTCAACTAGAATGGGGATATTGAATCAATTGAATGTATTGACATTTTGACTTGCCATCCACCCCCTAATACCCATTCTGTCACACACACTATTTATTTATTTACAGTATTTCTATACCACTTTTCTCACCCCGAGGGGGACTCAAAGTGGTTTACATATAAGTAATGGCAAAATTCAATGCCAGTACAAACAATTACAATGATACACTACAATTAAACATAAATCAAATTGAAACCATATATCCATAAGCAATAAAACAATCATTAAAACAATAAAACAGTCTCGTTTGTCAAATCGCCGTTCCAGTCATTGTCTTCCTGAAATGCTGCATACATTTACTTCTACTGCCCGAAGGCCTGGTCCCAAAACCATGATTTTATTTTTTTTCTAAAAGCCAGGAGGGAGGGAGCAGATCTTACCTCATTTGGAGTGTGTTCCATAGTCGGGGGGGCCACAGCCAAGAAGGCCCTGTCTCTTGTCCCCGCCAGGAGCACCTGTGCTGTTGACGGGAGCGAGAGCAGGGCCTCTCCGGATGATAAACACTAAACACTACCCATCCATCTATGCACAGTATTCTTCCGTATCATTCATATATTCTTGCTCCCAGCTCAACCATTTGCACATCTGTGTCCATACACCCTTCCTCACAAAAGCAAAAACATTAATTTTAACTTCCATTTTCATTAGTTGTACTTTTCATAACGGCAGTGGGATTCTTATAAATGTCCAACGTTTCTCTTAAAAAGGTCCACGAACAGTTCTCGTGGCTGCAAGTCTCCTTAGCCACACTGATTTTAAAATTCAGGAAAAAAAGAAAAGGCTAAGCTGTGTGTAGTGTTCGCGGAAGATTCACCTGCATGGGTAAATGGAGATGTTTCTGTCAGAATCATTAATTTTTCTTCTCCAATATGAGCATTATATTGTGCTTTGTAGATCTAATACATGATTTGGCATTTGGAGACAAAGCCACCTCATTTCTCTTTCTCTCAGTTTTTGGAAAAGTTCTATGTTACTGAGTTTTATCTGTTTGAGTTCTGCTAATGGATGCTGATAACCTTATCTGAGGAATCTGTATAAGGACCAAGTAGCAACAGTAAGAACTGACCATGGAACAACAGACTGGTTCAAGATTGGGAAAGGCGTATGGCAGGGTTGTATACTCTCACCAACAACGGATGCTAAAGCAGCAAGCTCTACGGAAAGAAGTATTCTAGAACTCAGCTTTATACTTGAATAACTTGTATGCATAACACATCATGCGATGTGCGGGGCTTGACAAATGCAAGGCTGGGGTGAAAATTGCTGGAAGAAACATTAACAACTTTAGGTATGCAGATGATACCACTTTGATGGCCAAAAGCGAGGAGGAGCTGAGGAGCCTTCTAATCAAGGTGAAAGAGGAAAGCGCAAAAGCTGGGTTGCAGCTAAACATCAAAAAACCAAGATTATGGCAACAAGAATGATTGACAACTGGGAAATAGAGGGAGAAAACGTGGAGGCAGTGACAGACTTTGTATTTCTAGGTGCAAAGATTACTGCAGACGCAGATGGCAGCCAGGAAATCAGGAGACGCTTACTTCTTGGGAGGAGAGCAATGTCCAATCTCGATAAAATAGTGAAGAGTAGAGACATCACACTGGCAACAAAGATCCGCCTAGTTAAAGCAATGGTATTCCCCGTAGTCACCTACGGATGTGAGAGCTGGACCTTAGGGAAGGCTGAGCGAAGGAAGATCGATGCTTTTGAATTGTGGTGTTGGAGGAAAGTTCTGAGAGTGCCTTGGACTGTGAGAAGATCCAACCAGTCCATACTTCAAGAAATAAAGCCCAACTGCTCATTGGAGGGAGGGAGATTAGCGGCCAAGATGAAGTCCTTTGGCCACATCATGAGAAGAAAGGAAAGCTTAGAGAAAGGAATGATGCTGGGGAAAATGGAAGGAAAAAGGAAGAGGGGCCGACCAAGCAAGATGGATGGATGGCATCCTTGAAGTGACTGGATTGACCTTGAAGGAGTTGGGGGTGGTGACGACTGACAGGGAGCTCTGGCGTGGGCTGGTCCATGAAGTCACAAAGAGTAAAAAATGACTGAACAAATGAACAACAACGGATGCTGAAGCAGCAAGCTCTACGGAAAGAAGTATTCTAGAACTCAGCTTTATACTGGCCTCATAGTCAGATTCTTAGCAACTTACTTGACTTTCAGACTCACCAGAATACGTTATGGGTTGTGAATACTTCAAAACTTGCCACGCTTATAGAAGCCACCAGGTGATTGGGTGAGCCCTCTGCATAGCTGTCATTTTGTAGATGTAGCCACAAAACTTTCAAAATTCCTGACCTATGCACCAGCCCAAAATGAGTTGGAAATCTCTGTTCTGACTCAATTCTTAAATTAATTATACCAAGCACAAGCTACTCCTCTATCCAAAATATCTGGATAACTTACCCGCAGGTTTTTGACAGGTGAGAAATCCCATTTGAGATCTCTGCTGAGAGCTGTCACATTTACTCCTCTTGGGATGTAAATACTCTGAGTCTGGGTGCTGATATCTGTCAGAGGCCTTTGGATTCCATCAAAAATGGCTCCCATGATACCAGGGCCAAGCTCAACAGAGAGTGGTTTGCCTGTGCGGAGTACAGGGTCTCCCACAGAAACACCGGCTGAAAAGTTTGTTGAGGAAAATCAGCTAGGAGATCAGAGTCAAATTCCAGCTTTATCTATTTGAATAATAGGAGTGGTGAATACTGTGGCAGGATTTTAGTAATGCACAGAACATTCCTGCACATTTCAAATGATAACAGATAAGTTGTTTCAAGTCAATAAATATTTTATCTCTTAGGGTAACCTATTTATTTATTATTTATTTACAGTTCTTATATTCCGCCCTTCTCACCCCGCAGGGGACTCAGGGCGGATTACAGTAAACACATATATGGCAAACATTCAATGCCAGTTTGACAAACAACATTTAACAGAATCACCGAGGCTATTTAACTTTTTTCTGGCCGCCAGGGGAGCTGCTGCTTTTCATCGTCCATCAACGACACCAATGAAGTTCTTCCGCATTCCACATTCCCCGGAGTCTTTTTTCTTTATGGCCTCATAAATTAGTTAAATTTAGCCTCCCACACAAGGTGGTACCTTATTTTTCTACTTGACAGATGCAACTGTCTTTCGGGTTGCAAAGGTCGACAACAGGGCTACACAATTGGTTGGAAACCCACTCCAACCCGGGCTGGCTTCGAACTCATGACCTTTTGGTCAGAGTGATCTTAATGCAGCTGACACTCATCCAGCTGCGCCACAATCCCTACCCCAGAAAAATATGCAAATCTAAAATTCTGGGTCTATCTGAATTGGTTCAATGTTTATCTAACACTGAATTAATGAAATGGACTTAATAGGATGTTACAAGGAGTGTTAAAGCTTTATAGTTCTCTTGGGGCCAGGGTGGTCCACGCCTTAGTCACTTCCAGATTGGACTACTGTAATGCACTCTATGTGGGGCTGCCCTTGAAAACGGCCCGGAAATTCAATTGGTCCAACGGGCGGCGGCCAGGTTGTTAACTGGTGCTCCTTACAGGGAGAGGTCAACCCTCCTGTTTAAGGAGCTCCACTGGCTGCCATTCATTTTCCGGTCCCAATTCAAGGTGCAGGTGCTTACCTACAAAGCCCTAAACGGTTTGGGACCCGCCTACCTGCGTGACCGCATCTCTGTGTACGAACCCACACGATCTCTTCGTTCATCTGGAGAGGCCCTGCTCATGATCCCACCTGCATCGCAAGCGCGATTGGTGGGGACGAGGGATAGGGCTTTCTCGGTGGTGGCCCCTCGACTCTGGAACTCTCTCCCTAAGGACATCAGGCAGGCCCCGTCACTAGCAATCTTTAGGAGGAGCTTGAAAACGTGGTTGTTCCAGTGTGCCTTTCCAGAATAAGGAAACTCCTAGCATTATGTCCCAATGCACTTTATCAGAGATTCTGGATATCTGCATGCCCATCCCCCTCCAAACTCCCCACCTTGCCATGCCCAGCACTTTTAATTTTTAATTATTACATTTGGCCCGGCCATTGTTTTTAATTGCGTCATTGGGTGTTGTTAATGTTATTGCTTTGTTTTTTGAGTTATTGCATTGTTGTTGTTGCTGTTGTTTTTATTGTTGTATTTGGGCTCGGGCTTTTGTAAACCGCACTGAGTCCATTGGGAGATGGTAGCGGGGTACAAACAAAGGTTTATTATTATTATTATTAGGGTTACAGATCATGATAACAGTACAATTGTGGAGTTGTTTCAAAAAAGTACCAAATTCATCTGAACGGGAATCCAAAAATGCGTTAAAAATATGCATTCTTTAAATGTAAAATGCAATTTTTCAAGCCCTGTGCCAAAGTGATTTGATACTTTTTGATAATTTTGATCTATGCATAATATTCCTGTTTAAACAGCTCTACTGGCTGCCGATGAGTTTCCGATCCCAATTCATATAAAGCTCTAAACGGTTCAGGACCTGCCTATCTGCGTGACCGCCTCCTCCCCTACCAACCCACACGGTCCTTAAGATCTTCCGGGGATGCCCTTCTCTCACTCCTGCCACCATCTCAGGCGCAATTGGTGGGGATGAGGGACAGGGCAATCTCGGTGGTGACCCCCCGTCTCTGGAATTCCCTCCCTAGGGAGATTAGGCTGGCACCCTCTCTAGCCACATTCTGCAAGGAATTAAAAACGTGGATGTTTCGTTGTGCTTTTGACTGATGGCCCCTATGACAAACGATTGTACCGTGACCTGAATTCATCACTTAATCTGAATTCCTATATTACATCATTATTCATATATGTAAGTTAAACTGAATTGATCCTGATCCTGTTTAATTGCTCTGTTTTCATGATATCTCCTGTGCCATTATATGTTCCTATCCACCTTATTGAACCATATACCCTTTAACCAGTTCGCATGTTAGAAGCCCCCGGTGGCGCAGTGGGTTAAAGCTCTGTGCCGGTAGGACTGAAGACCCGACAGGTCACAGGTTCAAATCCGGGGAGAGGCGGATGAGCTCCCTCTATCAGCTCCAGCTCCTCATGCGGGGACATGAAGGAAGCCTCCCACAAGGATGATAAAAACATCAAATCATCCGGGTGTCCCCTGGGCAACATCCTTGCAGACGGCCAATTCTCTCACAACAGGAGCGACTTGCAGTTTCTCAGGTCGCTCCTGACACGACAAAAAAAAAAAAGTTCGTATGTTGGCCTCCTTCACCCCTCCAAATTGGTCTGCTGTTGCTTGATACTTTTTTATTACTGTTATGTGCTTTTTTAATTTGTAATTTGTTGTTGTTTTTACTTTTAACTGTTATGTTGCCTGGGCTTGGCCCCATGTAAGCCACCCATGTAAGATGGAGGCGGGGTAGAAAAATAAACTTCTACTACTACTACTACTACTACTACTACTACTGCTACTACTGCTACTACTACCACTACTACTTCTAGCCAACTAGAACTACCACCTCACCTGCCTCATAGGAAACCTGCTACAAAACAGGAACTTTTTTGTTGAGTTCCAGGGCCAGAGAAGCAGATGGCGGAAACAGAAGAACGGCCTGCCTCAGGGGAGTGTGCTTGCTCCATCCATGTTCAACATCTACACAAATGACCAGCCACTGCCAGAAGGGACAGAGAGTTTCATCTATGCTGATGATCGTGCCATTACTGCTCAAGCAGGGAGCTTTGAGATGGTAGAACAGAAGCTCTCCGAAGCTCTAGGCTCTTACTGCCTATTACAGGGAAAACCAGCTGATCCCCAACCCATCTAAAACACAGACATGTGCCTTTCATCTCAAGAACAGAGAAGCATCCCGAGCTCTGAAGATCACCTGGGAAGGAATCCCACTGGAGCATTGCAGCGCACCCAAATACCTGGGAGTCACTCTGGACCGTGCTCTTACCTACAAGAAGAACTGCCTGAACATCAAGCAAAAAGTGGGTGCTAGAAACAATATCATACGAAAGCTGACTGGCACAACCTGGGGATCACAACCAGATACAGTGAAGACATCTGCCCTTGCGCTATGCTACTCTGCTGCTGAGTATGCATGCCCAGTGTGGAACACATCTCACCATACTAAAACAGTGGATGTGGCTCTTAATGAGACATGCCGCATTATCATGGGGTGTCTGCGCCCTACACCACTGGAGAAATTACACTGCTTAGCCGGTATTGCACCACCTGACATCCGCCGGGAAGTAGCAGCCAATAGTGAAAGGACCAAGGCAGAGACATCTCCAGCTCATCCCCTGTTTGGGTATCAGCCAGCACGCCAACGACTTAAATCTAGACATAGTTTTCTAAGATCTACAGAGACACTCGCTGGAACACCTCAGCAAGCGAGAGTCCAAAAGTGGCAGGCTCAAACCCAGCACCTCAACCAATGGCTGATACCAAATGAGAGACTCCCTCCTGGGCACACAGAAGACTGGGCGACTTGGTAGGCACTGAACAGACTGCGCTCTGGCACCACGAGATGCAGAGCCAACCTTCAGAAATGGGGCTACAAAGTAGGATCCTCGACATGCGAGTGTGGAGAAGAGCAAACCACTGACCACCTGCTGCAATGCAACCTGAGCCCTGCCACATGCACAATGGAGGACCTCCTTGCAGCAACACCAGAGGCACTCCAAGTGGCCAGATACTGGTCAAAGGACATTTAACCAACTACCAAACTCACAAGTTTGTATTTTCTCTGTTTGTTTGCTTTGTTCTGTTAGAAATGTAATATAATGGACTGGTTGCTCTGACACGACAAACAAACAAATACTTCTAGCCAACAATGTGCTGCCACATATAACTCATTTTTCTTTTCTTTTTTTGTCGATTTGGTATTTTTTGGAAACAAATTCCACATTTGGTTTCTGCAGCCTTCTATACACCTATTTTGCTTGTTCATACTTACCTTGTTATTTTTAAATTTTTGAATTAACTCTATGAAGTACAATATAAACAGACAAAATCAAAAGAACAAGAACAAAACTAAGATTAATGCCCGATACAAAATAATGAAGATAATAGAAAGGAATCATTAAATACATTTAGCAAAACATCTAATCAAGAGGAAATAGATATGACATATTTCCAGAGATTAAAAGGTGCCTTGTTGTTTTTAATTTCCAGTTCACAGAAGCAGAATCCAGACATATAGCTTTATAAAAAACTTCATAGGTTTCCAGATCAATTTTCAGTTCTTGGCCCGTGTATTATGAAAGGCAGAAGTCAACGGAAAGGATACAGGTTTCTTCATACACCTGGATAGTTGCCATGTCACCTTCTAATCGGATAATTTCTCCTACAAGTTCACAGTGACCAACGCGCACCAACTCATACATAGCTGCGCCTGCCATGTTACAGGCTGTGACAACTGGAGAAAACAAAGAAAAGGATGCAGATTCATCTGTGACTCTCCATAAAACAGTTTTGAATATGTGTCTTTTTTGAATATACTAGTTTTGTCTGTACCATGAAATGAAGCCCTACCGCTTTTCTGACATTATTATGTAAAGCAATTTTGAATGCAAGAGCATTTCATGAACTTGTTGATTAATGTGTAAGGTTACTTATTCACTGGGTTTTCCTCCCTAGCATTTGCTGTAGCGGTTGCCTACAGCAAATGCTAGGGAAAAAACCCCAGTGATGGCCATGTATAAATACATGAGAGGAAGTCATAGGGAAGAGGGAGCGAACTTGTTTTCTGCTTCCCTGGAGACTAGGACGCAGAACAATGGCTTCAAACTCAAGAAAGGACATTCCATCTGAACATGAGGAATATTGCCTTCAAAGCACCCCTGACAGATGACCATCCAGCCTCTATTTAAAAGCTTCCAAAGAAGGAGCCTCCACCACACTCCGGGGCAGAGAGTTCCACTGCTGAACGGCTCTCACAGTCAGGAAGTTCTTCCTCATGTTCAGATGGAATCTCCTTTCTTGTAGTTTGAAGCCATTGTTCCGCGTCCTATTCTCCAAGGAAGCAGAAAACAAGCTTGCTCCCTCCTCCCTGTGGCTTCCTCTCACATATTTATACATGGCTATCATATCTCCTCTCAGCCTTCTCTTCTTCAGGCTAAACATGCCCAGCTCCTTACGCCGCTCCTCATAGGGCTTGTTCTCCAGATCCTTGATCATTTTAGTCTTTCACTTAAATGATACACTGCAATCTGAAAGGTAGTCTCAGCCATCATGTAGGGGGAAAGGATACATTTTTGTAATTCTCAAAATCAACTCAGACCACTACACATTTCTCATGCTGCTTAAGAGATTTGACACAATGCAGAGTAAACAAAATCAGAAGTCCTATGAGCACTAATGAATTAATTCTAGCATAAGGCTTTCACACTCTCACATGAACCAAGCAAAGCAGCACTTACCAGGTCCTGAGACTCCATAGACATAGCCAAAGACATTCTCCCTGTCTTCATCACGGATTTTAGGAAGCTGTGAGAAATCCATTTTGACTGTTCAATCTAAAGGATTGGAGGGGGAGGAAAAAAAAATTTCTTCATTCTATAAATATGTTCAAGGGGAGTTGTGTTGGCCATATTTTTTTAGTTGGCCAAATATTTTGTTGTATTTATTTATTTACTGTATTTGTATACCGCCTTTCTCAGCCAATCGGCAACTCAAGGCGGTTTCCAACAAAACAGTACACATAATATCATAAAACAAGTTTAAACATTAAAACAGTATAAAGCAACAACAATAATAACAATATCCTTATTATCAAGCATTGTCCAGTTCCATCGTCAGGTCATTCAATTTCCTATGTCGTTTACTCTGCATTTGTGAACGCTTGCTCAAACAACCATGTTTTAACTTGCCTCTGAAACGTTAGTAGGGAGGGAGCTGATCTGATCTCCCTAGGGAGGGCATTCCATAGTCAAGGGGCCACCACTGAGAAGGCCCTGTCTCTCGTCCCCGCCAGACATACTTGTGTCGAAGGTGGGACCGAGAGCAGGGCCTCCCCAGATGATCTCAGGGTCCTTGATGGTTCGTAAGAGGACATACGTTCGGACAGGTAAGTTGGGCCAGAACTGTTTAGGGCTTTAAAGGCCAAAGCCAGCACTCTGAATTGGGCCCAGAAGCAAACCGGCAGTCAATGGAGCTGGTGCAACAAGGAGGTTGTATGCTCCCTGAGGGCCGTTCCTGTTAGCAACCTGGCCGTATTTAAAGTTTGTGGTTCACGTTGCCAGTCAAGATCAAATCACAGCAATGCTACTCACAGCTACTGTAAACTAGAGTCTTCTGGCACAGCTTGCATTCCATTCATTTTTCGATCTCAAGACAGAAGGTTGTATCTCTCAATTCTATGATTATTCATTAGAGAGGCAAGTCCATTGGTATTTACCGACAAAATTGTGAGATTATTCAGAACAAAAAGTTAGCAATTTATTATTCTTCTTTATCATAGGGCACATTTAAATAATTCAGCTGAGTGATCTGAAAAGGTTGCAATGCAAGAACCCAATCCAGTGTTTCTCAACCTGGGGGTCGGGACCCCTGGGGGGGTCGTGAAGGGGTATCAGAGAGGTCGCCAAAGACCATCAGAAAACACAGTATTTTCTATTGGTCATGGGGGTTTTATGTAGGAAGTTTAGCCCAATTCTCTCATTGTTGGAGTTCAGAATTCTCTTTGATTGTAGGTGAACTATAAATTCCAGCAAAATCAATCCCTCCCAACCCCATCAGTATTCAAATTTCAACGTATCGGGTATGTGTGTCAAATTTGGTCCAGTGAATGAAAATACTGTATGTACTCGAGTATAAGCCTATTTTTTCAGCCCCTTTTTTAGGCTGAAAAAGCTCCCCTCGGCTTATATCCGAGTCAAGGTTATTTATTCTTTTACTCTGTTATTAGTATTATTTTATTACATTTATTATTTTACTATATTATTATTATTATATTTATTTTGCTCTATTATTATTACATTTACATTTACCCTATTATTATTATTATTATTATTATTACATTCATTATTTTAATCTTATTATTATTATTACATTTACAGTATTTCACCCTATTATTACTACATTTACTATTTTACTCTATACTACTGTTTTTATTGCACTTTTCATTATTTTACTCTATTATTTTTATATTTATTATTTTAATAATAAGTACATTTACATTGAAGGAGGTTAGAATAATGGTTTAATAAGAGTTGGACAGTCTTATCTTAAATTACAGTTTTACGTAAATATTCAGAAACATTTAGCCTATTGATGCCTCAATTAATGTACTAGTAAGGTAAAGGTAAGGTAAAGGTAGTCCCCTGACATTAAGTCCAGTCATGTCTGACTCTGGGGTGTGGTGCTCATCTCCATTTCTAAGCCGAAGAGCCAGCGTTGTCCGTAGACACCTCCAAGGTCATGTGGCCGGCATGACTGCATGGAGCGCCATTACCTTCCAGTAGGAGCGGTACCTATTGATCTACTCACATTTGCATGTTTTCGAACTGCTAGGTTGGCAGAAGCTAGGGCTGACAGCGGAAGCTCACGCCGCTTCCCGGAATCGAACCTGCGACCTTTCGATCAACAAGCTCAGCAGCTCAGTGCTTTAACCCACTGTGCCACCGGGGGATCCATATGATAGCCATGTATAAATATGTGAGAGGAAGCCACAGGGAGGAGGGAGCAAGCTTGTTTTCTGCTTCCCTGGAGACTAGGATGCAATGGAACAATGGCTTCAAACTACAAGTATTCAAATTTGGGCATATAGGGTATTTGTGCCAAATTTCATCCAGTGAATGAAAATACATCCTGCATCTCAGATATTTACATTACAATTCACAACAGTAGAAAAATTACAGTTATGAAGTAGCAACGGAAATAATTTTATGGTTGGGGGTCACCACAACATGAGAAACTGTATTAAGGGGTCATGGCATTAGGAAGGTTGAGAACCACTGCCCTATGGGGTGAGATCCCCTGCATCTATGGCAAGCATCCTCAGAGGTCCTCACAACCTCTGAGAATGCTTGCCATAGATACAGGCGAAACGTCAGGAGAGAATGCCTCTAGGACATGGCCATATAGCCCGAAAAAACCTACCACAACCCATTTATGCAATGCTTTCAATATAAATGAATAACTGAAACATTTTCATGCAAGAATATACTCAGAAACAAAGAAGTAGAAAAATGGGAAGTAGTGTTGTTACACACACACACACATCTGAACTGCAGAACTGAAACCCCAGGAAAGGAGAAATCAAGATAGAGCTATCCTTTCAAATCAATTGAGGTTCTTTAAAAAGAGTATAGACTGTTCAAACTGGTATAGACTGGTTTGCATATATCAACAAACTCTTCCAAGACTTATACTTTTATATGGTGGCCCTCTAGATTTTTTTTCACCTCAGCCCCCGGTGGCGCAGTGGGTTAAACCCCTGTGTCGGCAGGACTGAAGACCGACAGGTCGCAGGTTCGAATCCGGGGAGAGGCGAATGAGCTCCCTCTATCAGCTCCAGCTCCTCATGCGGGGACATGAGAGAAGCCTCCCACAAGGATGATAAAACATCAAATCATCCGTCCTCGCAGACGGCCAATTCTCTCACACCAGAAGCGACTTGCAGTTTCTCAGGTCGCTCCTGACACACACAAAAAATACAAAACTTCAGCAGAACACGTTTTTGGGATGCTACAATGTAAAAGAGCTCCCCGCACCCCATTGCTCTATTGGAAGCAGTTTCATTATCACCTGTCTTCTATTGGACTTAGCCTACTAAATAAAGCCTGTTCTGATATAAAACATCCTTACCTGAATGTGAGAAAAAACGTCTGCCTGTAATACAAAAAAACCTTCAAAATCAAGCTTTTCAATGATTAGAAGAAACGATCTACCTTCTTATTCTCGAGCACTCTGATACAACTCAAGGAAAAACAGAAAGAAGCAATCACATAGGGAGAGCACAGAGGAACGGTCACTTGACTCGATGACTCAACATCTTCCTAAAAGGGCTGCTTCAACAGCAAGTCACATTGCTCAAGAGCCACAAAATTAAGAGGAGACCAGAGTTCCTTTTCCTTGTGGATTTCAACACACTCCACTGAATCAAGGTTGTTGCAAGGTGAACTGTCAAGCTCCTCAGAAATTGTTTCATGATCCTGGAAAATCCCTTATCTGGGCTCTTTGGATTCAAAATGAATCAAGTTCCTCGTCACATTTCAAAAGTTTCTATAAAGAAGTCAGAAAAGTTTGTACTCTCATAGCAATAGACTAGCCGTCCCCTGCCACACGTTGCTGTGACCCAGTCTGCTGATCTTGACAGATTAGAGAGATGGGCCAAAACTAACAAAATGAAGTTCAACAGTGACAAATGCAAGATACTCCACTTTGGCAGGAAAAACGAAATGCAAAGATACAGAATGGGGGACAATGCCTGGCTCAAGAGCAGTACGTGTGAAAAAGATCTTGGAGTCCTCGTGGACAACAAGTTAAACATGAGCCAACAATGTGATGTGGCGGCAAAAAAAGCCAATGGGATTTTGGCCTGCATCAATAGGAGCATAGTGTCTAGATCTAGGGAAGTCATGCTCCCCATGCTCTATTCTGCTTTGGTTAGACCACACCTGGAATATTGTGTCCAATTTTGGGCACCACAATTCAAGAGAGATATTGACAAGCTGGAATGTGTCCAGAGGAGGGCGACTAAAATGATCAAGGGTCTGGAGAACAAGCCCTATGAGGAGCGGCTTAAAGAGCTGGGCATGTTTAGCCTGAAGAAGAGAAGGCTGAGAGGAGATATGATAGCCATGTATAAATATGTGAGAGGAAGCCACAGGGAGGAGGGAGCAAGCTTGTTTTCTGCTTCCTTGGAGAATAGGACGCGAAACAATGGCTTCAACAAGAGAGGAGATTCCACCTGAACATGAATGAGGAAGAACTTCCTGACTGTGAGAGCCGTTCAGCAGTGGAACTCTCTGCCCCGGAGTGTGGTGGAGGCTCCTTCTTTGGAAGCTTTTAAACAGAGGCTGGATGGCCATCTGTCAGGGGTGATTTGAATGCAATAGTCCTGCTTCTTGGCAGAATGGGGTTGGACTGGATGGCCCATGAGGTCTCTTCCAACTCTTTGATTCTATGATTCTTAGAGTCAACAACAGCACCAAGATGTTTGAGCTGCTTCTAAAACTTTCCTGGAGTACAGCTAGACAATCTGACAATAGAGACACACTGCTTAAATCAGAAAGAATGATTTAGCAATGAGACATACTCGCATGATTGTAAATTAAGTCTGCTGTTTGACTTATTTTGTTCCACTCCACCACGTAACCAATCGCCAGGTATCTCAAATGAATCATTTTTCCCCAAACAAAATTAGGCAGAGTTCAGGGAAAATATCATTTTCAGTTCTTCCATTCCTCAACAAGTCACATATTAATGTTAGCTGGGGACAGTTAGTTAACTGGACACTATTTAAAGGTCATTGGTTCCGTTTCTTTGTCAACTACTATCTTCAGTCATTCAT